TTTTTTTTTTTTTAAATCACACCCCTGCCGTTGCTAGTGGTGCTGATAAGAGCAGACACCGCTTGCACCTGGGGGGAGGCCCCATCTATTGGTGGGGGGCATCACCTGATGGAAAACGGGTCCAGCGTCCCATGTACAAATTGAATGTTGAGATACATTCGAAAAAGGTTGCGGGGGACCTGCCAGCATTGATTACCCTGAAAAACAGGGGATTGACAGAGCAGGGCCTTAGAGAGGAGGGGGAACCACTTCACCCTGGAGTCGACGCCAGATACTTGCAACTGCACACTGATTCCTCCCCCCCTTAACTAGGGCCCCCCTACTCACTGACCCAGAATGTTCAAGTTGCGTGGCAAGATGAAAAATGGAAAAAAAAAATTATTGGTATTTTACTAGAAGAAAGAATAACCTCCCTGTGGGGCTCCGGAGGGCCATTTCTTATCTGAGCATGAGTTAGCAGAAGATGGGCTAACAAAATTCCTCAGTCAGGATAGGATTTCTGCTAGGGAGAGGGCATGGGGTGGGAAGGGGTCGGGGAAGTCCGAGCGGTGGCAGAGTGGGAATGAGGGTTCAATGTTTATCTAGTCTTTAAACATAGGCGGTAATCTCTCCTCTCTTCCAAATCCCACCGTCCCTTTCCCTTGTCTCTCCGCTCCATTTTACTTTCGCAATCCATCCTTCACTCTCCCCTCCCACCCAGTCTATGCAAAAAGTTGTGATCCTTCTCTTGACATCTCCTACCTATGCAAAAACTGTGCTTTTGTGTCTAGCCATCTCTGTGTGAGTTTGAAGTGTACCTGCTGCTGAATCTGTTCAGTGATTTCTGATTCTTCTACTCTCACCTTTTCCATGGCCAAAGTGCATCTTTGCCACCAAAGTGCCCATACTACAACTCTTCTTCCAAGTTTGTATATGTTTTTTATGAAGGCTATAGCTGCTTTTGCCTGCAGCCAATGGCCGGCCAAAATGGCCTGCCAAGACCAGGGCTAGGGGGTTCCAGATTCCATCTTTCTCCAGATGCGATCCCACCATTTCCATATGAATTGGGCTATCGGCCATTGCATGAAGATATGTTCAATGGTTTCCGTCTTCCTATAGAATGGAAAAAGGTTCTGGCACTGTTGGCACCATGGAAGTAGCAAACCTTTTTGTTCTAAGTTAGTGTGATCCGTTAGCCAGTCATTAGTTGGTAGACAACGGTGGGCAATCTGTCATTGCAAGGATGTGATTTTCATAGATTTTGCTTTTTGTTCTTGGAACTATTTGATTGGCGACAGAAGAGAGTGATCCACATTCAGGTGTCTGG